AAGCAGGTTGCTGGTGCACGTCAGCAATTGGAACAGTTTTGGAAGAATTATGAACTCTGCCACCCAGACTTCGGACTTTTTTTGAAGAAAGTGTCGACTACGGTTTGTGCATCCCAGTATTTGCACACGCTGATGGTGGCCGAGGGTACAAGAAGTCAGAGTTCATGGTTTTCAACTGGAGCTCTGTAATAGGCAGCGGCACTGGACAAGCCAACAAAAAGGACCACTCCATTAGGCAGCTCAAGAAACAATCGGACCAGTCTCAAATCAATTTGCTTGGAAACTCCTACGGAACTCACTACATGTACTCCGTCATGCCAGCTGCCTGGCATAAAGATGATTCCCGCTTTCAAGAAATGTTGACGCAAATGGGGAAAGATCTTTTTGAGTGCTACGAGCATGGAGTTGAGCTGTGTGGGGGGGGAGCGCTTACGACTGGTGTGTCTGGGTCTCAAGGCTGACCTGAAACTTCAGGCCAGAGCTGGCAAGTTTACACGTTGGTACTCAACGTGTAGGAAAGCACCCCAGGATGAGACCAAGAAGACTCAAACCATTGGCATGTGCTGCTTTCTTTGCCCAGCAGGCCACCCTCAGATCCCGTTTGAAGAGATTCACACTGAGTTCCCTACGTGGCGGCAGGAGATGGCTGAGTTCGCAGTCGTGCCACCTTGGAATGAGGGGGATACATGTGGTCTGCTCACAGAATCTTTCCTTTACCATTCCCAGCCAGCCAAGTTCTTCCTCATTGACTTGTTCCATACGTACTTGGCTGGGTTTGGTCAAGATCATGCAGCTTCATGCCTGGTGTTCATGTTGGGGAAAATCTTTGGTGGAACAAGTGTTGAAGTGCAGCTTGAGAGTTTGAATGCTGCTTGGCGTCATTGGAAGAGAATGCACCATGTGACCACCCACACCTACAACTTTACCCGCCAGCTTCTCAACTTCTTGGATGGGACCAAGACATTCCCAACAGGTACCTGGTCAAAGGCGTCTGATACAGCTAAAATTTTGACCTTCATCTCGGACATGTTGGACCTGTATGACGACAAAGTGTCCAGTGACAAAGGGCTCTACTACATCAAGGTTTCGTGTGGTTCCCTTCGTGAATCAATGGTGAGCTTATACATGGCTGACCTTTGGGTTGACCCCTGGATGAAAGAGTACAAACTTTCTTTTCTTTTGAAACACTGGTATGCCCTGTAGTGATTTTGGCCTGCAATCCTGTTCTCACCAACAGCCCAGGACAAGAATTTGGGCGAGAGGTTTGTCCGTGGTGCCTTTTCGTTTTTGCAGTGCTACAGCAAGCTTGCTACACTAGCAAGAGATTGCAGTAGACCTTTGTGGGTTTTCAAACCAAAACTCCACTATTATCACCACTTAGTGGTGGAGGCATCCACTTTTTTGTTGAAAGAGATGGTCTTCCTGAACCCCCTTGCATACAGTTGTGCTATGGCTGAGGACTTTATCGGGAAGGCCAGTCTAATTAGCAGACGTGTGAGCGCACGTACGTGCGAAAGAAGAACCTTACAACGCTACTTAGTAGCGACCATGCAGGCTTGGAAGAAAGACCCACAATAGTTGGGAACCAAAACCTTCAGCCTGAGACTCGTTTTGGCTGGGGCCCCGGGCCCAATGCTCCAGCAGCGACCGCCGTGGCCGCAGTGAAGAGAGAGTGGGGGGCGTCCGAGGGTGTGGAGGAAGGTTGCTGGGTGCTATACAACAGTTATCTCATGTCTAACACAGAACATGTTGAAGTTGTGAGGAATCTACTCGGTTGCCAAGTTTTCATGTTTTCGTGGTTTTTGGTCTCGGACCAAAAATATGCGCAGCCTTAAAAACAAACGTCTCCCGAAGCTCTAGGTATATATCCCAGACGCTCCATGTATGCCATATATGCCGAAATTGACCACCAAAACCACCCTAATGTAGGCATATATGGCATACATGGAGTGTCTGGGTATACTAGATACTAGATCTGTGAAAGTCTTCCCGGTGATCAAAGCTGTCTCTCTCTCCCTCTGTCCAAGGAACTGATGCCAACAACACGAAGCTCCTCGGGGAGCGAAGTTTAAAACATCACGGCGAAGTGCTCATGAAAGCGCGTCCGGGACCCATCATTATCATTATTCATGGGATATATATATA